CATGATTCTGTACTATAGATACACAGATGATGTCAAAATGTGATAAGAACAAAAAACTTTAATAATTATTGTTATTCAAAACTAAATTGTAAGTTTTATTGAAAAAAATCATTGTGTCATTGATGCAAAATGGTGAATTATGTATTGTTTAAAAAACAAGCATCAGTCTTTCTTGAGTATAAGAACTTGAGAGCAGCAAAACACGTCCTGCAAATTAAAAGTGGCATGGAACACCAAAGAAAAGAACAAAATACAAAGAGTACCACCAAAAAAATAACACTAAATAGCTCATTATCACATGTCATCATGGATGCAAATAAAAAAATATATATATACATACTTCATTTTAAAGCTTTTACAACCAATAGCCAATGACAGCAACTGATGACCAAGACAAATACCAAACAATGGCTTTGCCTTATCATACATGACATGCTTTCTAATGTTTTCTATGGCTGTGAATGAAAAGCTTGGATCTCCTGGTCCATTACTAAGAAACACCCCATCATAATCTAAGGACAAGAGAAATCATTTCAACACTTCAAGATAAAATCAGTATCTCTGTGAGAGATCTATTCAACACTTCAAGATAAAATCAGTATCTCTGCTCGCTCACTTGTGAGAGATCTATTCAACACTCAAAGATAAAATCTGTATCTCTGCACTCCCATGTAATATCCTCTATATCTTACAGTGTCCAACACAATGGATGTAAGGGATAAGTTCTTACCTCCACTTTTTACTTCAGGGTTGAAGTCATAGTTCCATGGTACAACTTTTACACAAGCACCACGCGACACAAGGCAACGTATCTGATTATACTTAATTCCACAATCAACTGCTATGATTYTAGGACTTCCAGATGAATTGAACACTGTTGGTTTCTGTAAATCAATATTCAGATCAACAAACACTTATTCAAAAATATGTCAAGGGGGTGGGGATGGTGGGGGAAGGGATGCCCATGTTTGTCAGAAGGGTGCCTGGTCAACATAGCCATCTAAAAAAATATTGGATGGTTCTTTTTTGTCCCAGTAAAACCCAAAGCATAGGCTGAAGGGCATTTTTGCACAATGAAGTGCCTGAGCTAGAAGTGAATTACTTATATGATACAATTGAAGTATTGGGTTACAAATTGTTGAGGTGTTTAGTGATTACCAGTTTGGTATTTTGGTAGTCAGTTTTGTATTGGAATTCTGTTAAATACTGCATATTATATATRTGCTATCTTTTTAACCAAAACAGTTCAAGTATACCTTACAAGAAACCTCATTAACAAGGTTTCTGATATTAGGATCATCAAATTCAATCGATTTTGGATCAACTCCATCAAGGATTATCTTTCCCAGCATCATTCCTTCTTCTCTGATTTTCTTTGTTAATGCCCTTGTATCGACACCTACAATGGAAGAAGTTAGAAAAGCAATTTCAAGGAAAAACTTTCTGATGTTCAAGGTAGTATAAAAATAAAT